CAATGGGTGAGATTGGATGGGTGTGTGAGTTAAGGGCCCATTGTGACATCACGTCTGGCATGCTGCCAACACTCAATGTAAGTCTATGAGAGAAACGAAGAATGGAATAAAACGACAAACGACTGAGTGCGGGTCAGAACAAGAGTGGATTCATGCTCGGGGGCCTGCCCTGAGATAGTGTATCAAAAACGGTGTCGTTCAGGCAAACGGAAGTACCATAGATTGGCATGCAAATGTTCACCCCATTCATTCTCTATGGGAAAAAATTCAGCAAAATTCCCTTGCTACACAGAATCCGAGCATCCGATCAAAAAGCTGTATACTTGCTAAGGCAAGGCACAACCATAATAATAATAATACAAGTTGGGTAACAATATAGTTGCGCCTTGCTAAAGCAATGTATAATGCTAAAGCAAGGCGCAACCATAATAATAATATAAGTCGGATAACAACCATAATAATATCAATCGGATAACAGCATAGTAACCATAATAATAATATTATTATGATTATTAGTATAGTAACCATAATAATAATAATAAAGCAAGGTGCAACCATAACAATAATATAAGTTGGATAACAATATAGTAACCATAATAATATAAATTGGATAACAATATTGCTAAAGCAAGGCGCAACCATAGTAAGATTATGAAGAACAGTAAGTTGGCTTTTCCAAGCCAACTTATTAAGAAGAAGATTACAAAGAACAGTAAGTTGGCTTTTTCAAGCCAAATTAATAATAATAATGATAAGAAGAAGATTACGAAGAACAGTAAGTTGGCTTTTTCAAGCCAACTTAATTAAATTATTAACCACTGAAAATTTTTCAGGCACTCCTTTGAAAATAATCAAAAAGGGCACAACGCACGTCACGCACAACTCACTGACACCCCTCCTCCAATAGTACCAAATGTTACAACTGCAGAGCCGCAGCACCACTGCTTTAGCCCCCACACGTTCAACTCCCCACGCATTAGGTACTGCAGCACTTTCGGCTTTCAAGAATGCGGGGGAAAACAGTGGATTTAACTTCTACTATATTACTCTTAGTAGATGAAAAAAAACTTTTTTTAACAAAGATACTAAATGACTGGCGCCCGGTTGCTCTGACTTCCATCATAAGCAAGTGCTTTGAGAAGCTGGTCAGAGACTTTATCTGCTCCTCACTACCTGCCAGTCTGGACCCACTGTAGTTTGCATACAGACAGAACAGATCCACTGATGATGCAATAGCCCTGACTCTACACACTGCCCTCTCCCATCTGGGCAAAAAGAACACATATGTGAGAATGCTGTTTGTGGACTACAGCTCAGCGTTCAACGCCATTGTGCCCTCAAGGCTCAACATTAAGCTTCGGGATCTGGGTCTGAACAGTTCTCTGTGCAGCTGGATCCTGAATGTCCTGACCGGCTGACGCCAGGTGGTAAAGATGGGCAACATCACCTCCTCCTCACTGACCCGTAACACCAGGGCTCCTCAGGGCTGTGTGCTTTTCTCTCTTGTTCTCTCTGTACACACCCACGACTGCTCAGCTAGACACATCTCCAATGTCATCATCAAATTTGCAGATGACATCACAATTGTGGGCCTGATCTCCAATGACAACGAGGAGGCCTACAGAGAGGAGGTCAGCTTTCTGACACACTGGTGCCAGGAAATCAACCTCTCTCTCAATGTTAACAAGACCAAGGAGCTCATAGTGGACTTCAGGAAACAAGAGAGTGTGCACACCCCCATCACCATCAACGGAGCCGCTGTAGAGAGGGTCAGCAGCTTCGAGTTCCTCTGTGTTCACAGGTTTGGCATGAACCTCCAAATCCTCAGAATATTCTACACATGCACTGTGGAGAGTATTCTAACAGGCTCCATCACCACCTGGTATGGAAACTACACTGCCATTGAGCGGAAAGCTCTGCAGAGGGTCGTGCGGACAGCCCAGCACATCACCGGGGTCCAGCTCCCAAACCTCCTGCATTTATACACCAGCCGCTGCCTGAGGAAGACCAAGAGGATTCTAAAGGACTCCACCCACCCAAGCCACTGTCTGTTCTCACAGCTGCCGAGCGGGAGATGGTACAGAAGCATAAAGTCCAGAACCAGCCAGTTCCGAGATAGTTTCTTCCCCCGGGCCATCAGTAGTGCTGGTGTACCGGTCTATAGGCCCGTCACTGCACCTCTGAGTCATCATCTCCAGGGACATCATCTCCAGGGCCCGTCACTGCACCTCTGAGTCATCATCTCCAGGGACAATCTACACCCCATCCACATCTCATCAGACTCACCCTTATCCTCTGCACCTTCAATCTAGCAAATTTGTACTTACACATATAGATTGACATCTTGTACATCTCATATCCATATCTTGTATAATCTGGAAGATTTCTATATCAGTATCCTATCCCTGTGTACCTGCATCTCATTTATCTACCTCAGACTAACTGCACATAGGGAATGTGTACAACAGTACATTTCATAGTTTTATTTCATAACTTATTACTGTACAACTGTACATTGGAATAGTGCAATACTAGTGTATATTGTGTATATGTGTATATTCAGAGTCGGTGTATATATATATTTCTTCTTAGATATTTATATTTTTTGTATTTAAATTCTATAAGGGGGCTACGCACCTAAGATTTTCACTCACTTTCCACCTGTGTAAATGTGATGTGACAATAAACGTGATTTGATTTGAATTTGATGTGTATTAATGGTAACATTTTTGGTTCTTTCAATACCCAAGTGTGTTTTTGTACTGCAGGCTGTCATTCAGCGTGCTCAGATGTAAATCATTACTGATTGTCTGCTTGTTCACACGGCCAACCATGCTCAACCACGCTGCAGATTTCATGTTTTATTTCATGATCACATAGGCTAGATTTCAAATTACCCCCTAGTCCCTATGTAGTGCATTATGTTGGTTATAAAATAATTTTCGAATAGAAAGCCATCTATTTTAGCTATGCTCTACACTTCTAATTGTATAATATTCAGAGAACTGTGTGCAGAAGCCATCATTTCCTGACAGTGCACTATGTAGGGAGTAGGGAGTCATTTGAGATTTAGCTTAATTAGTATTTGAGGGTTTCTGAAAAGGTTATGCACTACATTCCCTGCCCTCCATGTAATTCAACACAAGAGCTGAGAGGTGTCTAAAAGCCCGGGTTTGTGAGTGCGGTACTGCGGCTCTGCAGTTCTCTTCCTCTCTCCTGCCGGACAAACGCGTTCTAGAACTGTCAGCCATTAATTTGACATTAAAATTTCACGGCAAGGCAGTTATAGTTTCTGAAGTTAGGCGCTGCAGTTGCTCTTCATCCGCTCCACGAGCTGCAATACGCCTTCGAGACCTCAGAACATCACCCTGGTTGGCTGGAATCTCAAATGACAAACATGACGTGTGTGTCACTTATGTTACCCAAAGGGCATTTACTCCTTCTGGCGGGTCGTTATTATTATTTTTTTTTTTTTTTGCATATAGTAGCTACATACGCAGAATGTGACCGACTTGACAGCAGTGTTTTTATACCCCACTGTGGCAGTGATCGGCAGTTCTCGTTAGCCATCAACGCCAAGTCGAAAACGAACGCGGTCTGTGTCTCACCCACAAGTCCCGCCCTCCTGCGCCAGGATTGGCTAATAATATCCTAGGATTAACTACTAACCAATCCTAACAAAAGTCGCGTTTAACGATTGAGCTATTGGCCAGCTCCTACGGCATGCGAGCGGATGAGAACCAAAAACACTTTCATTATATCGTAGTCGCTTTTCGTCTCGTCACATTTGGAGGCAAAGGATGTAGGATTCTGATTTTTGCAGCTGCGCAGCGATCAATGACCTCCTCAGCAGTGACACTATAAGCCAAATATTGCGGCATATATCAGCCTGTAATCGCCTGCAGTAGCCACTCGCCATATTGTGGGAAAAATGACCTGGGTAGCCTGCTTTATGCTGGAAGGAAACATCAGGCTCCAGGAGTGCAAAGCCATTATACAATCCGGAGGGGTCTAAGGAACGCAGTTGAATGTCACGCGAAAAAAAGGCAAATTAATTTGAATGAGCAGCTATACCCAAGGAGACATGGAACGTGGGCTGTGGAGCTTGCAGAGAGGTTCACCTTTATGAAGCAAACACTTCCCACGCTTTTTGCTTTTTGCTGATGTGGACGACTGTGGCGTGAGAAAGCTTAAGACTGAAGCAGTTACGACCACGAAGCAGTATTCAGAATTCAGAACCCCATAAATTGTTTATTTCAGGCGAAAGAATTGGCATATGTTGACATTTACGATTTTTGTGTTTTTTTTAAGCCGACAGTGTCACAAAAACGTAAGCGCTCTTTTGTATTGAAGATAATATGCATCCTTGCTCTGGATTCCTAGATCTTTGGATATGGAATGTGGATTCAGTAAAGGTCGGGTCTCTGTTGAGGGAAGACTGAATCGGCCCCATTCAGTGCATGAAGGATAAAAAGGTAACCGGGTTCTTTACAGAAGTGTTTCGCTTCCACACATTCAGCAGGAAGAATGGTTCTCAGTAAGCAACTGCGGAAGTAATAATATTGTTTAATAATAAGATTTTTATGTCGTATCGGATGTTTTTGCCTATTTCATTCTACATTGTGTCATAAAAGACTTATAAAAACTCAAGGTTGAAGCTAACAGATGTAGACAAGCCTTGACATCTCAGAACTGTACAGAAAGACACTTTATTTAAGATGTCTTTGGCCGTGTGGAAAAGTGTTTGGTTAACCTTAGGAAGACATAGGAGTTTTTTAATTTTGGCTTTAGAAGAACTTTGAGTCATAACAAGGAAAAGTTGTGGAATACATCTGCTGACGTCATGAGGTGGCATAAGGAACTATTTAAACTGCAACTGTCTGTATAAGTATCACAGGCTGTTCATCTGAGCTGTGTGTTTTCCTCTTTTTCATGTATTTATTTTTAATTTTCTGAAATTGGCTCCTAACTGGAGAACCCAATTGGTTAAAACCATCAGCATGGCTTCTCCACACCATCTTCAGCTACACAACAGTGAGGTGTGCTATGACTCCAGTGGGGATGGTGCAGTGTGTGTACGAATCAGCAGTATCAAACAGCCAAAACAGCAGCGCTGCTCTGAGAGCTTGGGCTCCAACACAATGTGCGGTTTTGTAGGAGGATCCAAATATTGCAAGTATAGCATTTCCTCCAGCTGTAGTTCAGGTGAGTCTGGCATTCGTAGGCCAGCTGTCAGAAGCCTACGAAATCAGAGGAAAATGCCCCAGCTATTTGAGAGGTCAGTTGGGCCATTCTGGAACCCGAAGTTTGATTCCAGTATTCTTGAGGATGCGTGTCGTAAGCACTGCTTTCCCCAGACACAGAGGCACTTCCGCTGTGTGCTCTTCTACTTAGCTGTGGCTAGTCTCCTTTGGGGGGTGTACTTTAGTGCCAATGCTGATCGATGTGACTATATCACCTTCTTAGTGCCCACAGCCTCCTTCCTGTTTTTCTGTTTTCTTCTGTTCCTCTTCACTTTCACCCGACACTATGCCCACTGCTACGATCAGGCCTCACTCCTGCTCATTATAGTGACATTTACTCTCACTCTAGTGCCACAGACCCAAACATCGGGCTTCAGGGACTTATACGCTTTGACATTAGGAGATGGAAATGATGCAGAGGACTTAAATGGCATTGAGGGCAAGAACCTTACCCTAGACACTGCCTCTCACGGAAGTTTTTTGGCCACATGCTTGTCTCCGGTAGGCACCTTCTCCCTTGGCATGGAGGTGCTTATGTTGCTCTATAGTGTCCTTCATGTTCGTCTCTATGCCTCAGTGCTGCTGGGTTTGCTGTACTCCGTTTTGTTCGAATCACTAGGTTGGATGCACTTAATCCATAAAAATAAATGGAACCATCCCAGCGAGGATCAGGCTGCTGACTGGGAAACCCTTCACTGGTTGGCCCCTGCCAAAGCCCTTTTACACTTGTGTGCTCATATTACTGGCATCCATCTTTTCATCATGTCTGAGGTGCGATCCCGCAGCACTTTCCTCAAGGTGGGCCAGGCCATCATGCACGGGAAAGATTTGGAAGTGGAAAAAGCACTCAAAGAGCGAATGATCCACTCTGTGATGCCTCGCAGGGTGGCAAATGAGCTTATGAAACAGAGTGATGAGGATGAAAACACAGTTAAGCGCTACTCAACAGGTACTGCCCTGGCATCTGTCTCCAGCCCCAGGGGCACCAAGCACAAGAAGACGTCCATTCCCCGTGGCCAGATAATTTTCCGACCCTTCAACATGAAACGCATGGAGCCAGTCAGCATCCTTTTTGCTGATATAGTCGGCTTCACCAAGATGAGTGCAAATAAGACAGCACATGCCCTGGTTGGTCTCTTAAATGACTTGTTTGGCCGCTTTGACCACCTGTGCGAACTAACATGTTGCGAGAAGATAAGCACATTAGGGGACTGTTACTACTGTGTGGCCGGCTGCCCTGAGCCCCGGCCCGACCATGCCTACTGCTGCATAGAGATGGGGCTAGGGATGATCCAGGCCATTGAGCAATTCTGTCAGGAGAAAAAGGAGATGGTTAACATGCGTGTGGGTGTCCACACAGGCACTGTGCTTTGTGGCATCCTGGGAATAAAGCGCTTCAAGTTTGATGTCTGGTCCAACGACGTCAACCTTGCTAACTTAATGGAACAGCTGGGTGTTGCTGGGAAGGTCCATCTGTCACAGGCCACTGCAAAATTCCTGGATGACCGGTATGTGCGGGAAGATGGGAGGATCACAGAAAGGATTGGCCAGAGTGTGGTTGCAGATCAGCTGAAAGGTAAGAGACTGGTTTGAATGAATTGTGATAAAGGATTACGGATTTCTACCTGGGTCTAAATTATGTTTTCTCAATTTTAGTATTTAATTTTTTTTTTTCTTCTGAAATCTATGTTTACACTTGGAAAGCAACGGTATATCTAAGACATGTTCTGGATACAGATAATACAAAGTCATTCACTATGGCCATGTGTACACCAGAGAGTCAACTGGAAATCATTTTCATTTTTCTTTGCCAATCAAATTAATTTTATATGTCTAGATATGGTAATCCCGTGTAGGTGGATTTAGCATATTATTAGCTCAATTTACAGCCTGTGTGCTCCTGTGATGTTTGCATGTTCTGTGATGTCCATTATATCATCTCTACTGGGGACAGTAGGAATAAACTAGCTGTTCCAGGAATTGGAGTGGACATGATAGAAAAATCTTGTCTGTGTGGGGATGAAGGTAGGTGAGTTTTCTGAGCTACCCTTTGTGTTGTGGATATAATGAGGCACACTCAAGGTTGTGTCTCCCTACTTCTCTTCATCTATCCTGCCATCAAGTAGTAACTGCCCTACTATCCTGAATATTGCTGTTTTACTTTCTTTGCTGTCCTTGATTTCCCTACTCTGAATTAAACTATGTCTGTTGCAGTGTATAGTTCTTTTTTCTGCACTTGCAAGCTAAAATAAATGACAAGCTGTAATAATTGGTTGTTGGATTGGATACATGTTTCTTAGACATACCAGAAGTAACAACTTACATTTCTCCAGTGTTTTTCCAACATTTTTCATAAGTTATTGCATAACAAGACATAACCTTTTTTCCACTACATCTGCTAAATTTTCCTGCTGCTCAGACCACTTGGTGTAATGCATATCTTTTGCCACTGTGTCTCGAAAAATTACCGTATGTGGGCCCTGTTGGGTATTGTTGTGTTGAGTGTTTGTGTGGTGGGGAATAAGAGCTGTTTTTGTATGAGGAGTGTATAGACCATTTTTTCACACCAGCTAAAAGGTGCTGTGAAAATGACAAAATCATGAATTTCTTTTTCTCCCAGCAGTGCACAGAGGTGGGTCATAACTTGTTACAGTTACATACACAGAAGTAAAATTTCAATGGTTTTGTATTTTCCTGAGTTTTTTTTTTTATAAAAAATCTTTTACCTTTACAAAGCATTTGAGAGAAAAGAATTATCTTTTTACTCAGTTATATTTAGTTACTCACATTTAGTTACTGATTCATTGCTTCTGTTTTCATTTCATTCTGTTGTGTTGGTAAAAGTATCTGTGCTGCTTTGCAATTTTCTCTGACCTTTTGATGTTTATCATTTTATTTTTGACCAAGAGTGCATCAGAAAGAGTAACAGCAATTAACAAACTTCATTTCTAATACTGATTGATGCTGGATATACTAAGAACTTCCTCTGCACTTCTATAACTACCTCAATACTTAAGTAGTTTTTTTGTACTTCAGGTTGTTTGTTGGAAAATACTCTTACTTTTGCTTGAGTATGGGATTTTTTTCTCTTATTTCTGGCAGTGCAAAAATCTCTTTGCTGTAGGATTTCCCTTCACTGGAAATAAGGGACACAGCCCAAACTATTAAAAAACAGCCCCAGAGGCTGTATTACAGAAACTGCTTAAGTCTGAAATCTTATCTGGTTAGTCACCACAACAACTTCAGTTAGCACCGAATTTAAGACAGAAGCTATTACAGAGCAACAGTTCTGAAGTTCATAATCTCATCCCAACTCCAGATAAGAAAACAGTATGACAGAAACATAACTAAATACTAAATAACTAAATAACCTAAATTCTGTCCTAACTATAAGACAACCCTAGAGGTGTCTTAACTTCTGTTTTAACCGTTTCTATCATTTTTTGCAGTAACAGGCAGCATAGTTTACTATAACTGGCATAATGACGTTACATCTATCCACACTGAAAAAGGTTGTTAATGTTGATGAAAACTCATCATTTAAAATATTACAGTGATGGCAAATAATGAGGAGACAGAGCTGAACATGTAGGAATAACGTTAGTATGGTCAGCTAAAGCATTTGGGGAAACTGAAACTGGGGAATGGCGACGCTCTGATGAACAGAATGGACAACTGTCCTTGGTAACAATAGCCAGCGTTGATTTTGATTACGTGTTTACATTTATGGTAGGTACTAGGGCTATTAATAAGTAACAGACATGACAGTTGATTGTCGACTTCCATGGAGTACTTTAAGATTTCCTAACTTGAGATAAGATGCTGTAAGATAAGATTCCGAAATTAAGATATGCTTCTGTAATACAAATTTGTGAAAAAAATTTATCTTGACCTGTCAGATCTTAAGACAAAAAGATAGGAAGTTACTGTAATATGGCCCCAGTACAATATTTTCTCCTCCACCAGACCTCACAGGCAAAGTGCCTTCAAGCAGGCAGCATTCTCCTGGCATCCACCTAGAGTCTAGATTTGTCTAGGTTTGTCTGACAAACTGCTAGATGGTGTAGTGTGATTCACTGCTCCAGAGATCACACTTACACTGCTATAGAGTGCTCCAGAGGGTGTGCTCTAAACCACTTCAGTCAATGCTTGCCATTGTTTTATGGATCTTAGGCTTGTGTGAAGCTGCTCTACGTTGAGAACCCAACACGTGAAGCTCCTGAACAGTTCTTGTGCTGACTAGGCTTCCAGATGCAGTTTGGAATTTCATAGTGAGCCAGATTAAGCCATTCTGTGGCTCTAGGCTATGAAAAAAAATTGGCTACATAAAAAATGGTGATAGCTGAATGGGGTTATCGACTTAGGTGTGGTGACTGCAGTGAGATTTTCAGGTGTCTGAAGTGAAACTGGATTTTATCAAATTTTGCATTTGCATGTGCTTATCCTTTGATGGACTGCTTAAAACACTAATTTGAACCATGACTCATAGTCTTTAGAATTCTTAAACCAGCTCACCCACTGCTCACACACAAAAGAAAACTCACTCAGTGTCCCATCCACTGGCGATTCTAGTATTTTTTAAGGAGGGGCCATAATGGGGCCATTCAAATTCAAAGAGCTTTATAATTATCTCTAAACACATTTGTTGTTAAGGGAACACTTTATTAAGCATCAACTACACTACTGATATAGCTCATTCCATATATTATTCAGCATATTTTACATTCAGTGGCAGTTGTGGTAAAACATCTGATCATAAGGCTAATAATGATAATAATAATAATAATAATAATAATAATGACAAACAACTACCATATTCAGATATGCAGGCTTGTGAGCAGTGAAAAAGGTGAGAAAGTTCAGAAACCAGCCCCTGTTGAGAGGTCTGGAGGCTTGGTTTTCCAAGAGAAAAATTTAGTGATTTTAACAGGAAAATTAAGCATTCTTTTGCACTTTGAGAATAAAATCCATTAAAAGAAGGAATTGTTATAGAAAGATTCAGGTACTTGAGTTAAACACCTATGCCAATGTAAGTATTGTTTAAAAGTGTATTGCTTTTAGGTATGAGACTTGTTTGTTTAAAAACCTATTGCTTACCATTGCTTAATAATAATCTCAGTGGACAGTCCACATAAATTGATAGGTTCTACATCGATTTCAGACAAAACCAAAGTGGTAACTGCTTGTCTTAAGTGCATCAATTGATAATGTACACATATCAAAACATATTTGTACATATTAATGTACACAGTTTTCCACCACCATTTGAAAGCTTTTGACAAATCATATATGTAAAAACTAAACCAACTTTTAAAGGTGTCTAAAACTACTCTGTAAGTGTAATAAGTGACTATAATCTGCTCCTGAGAATGGTGATTCTTCTTCAGAATTCTCCTTGGTGACAGCAAGGGTCAAAATTAAAAACTCAGCAGATAATGAGGAGCTAAAGTTGACTCAAGTACAATTTGCTATTTGGTTTAACTTTAGCTCCTAATTATCTGCTGAATTTTAAATTTTGACCCTTGCTGTCACCAAGGAGAATTCTGAAGAAGAATCACCATTCTTCTCAACACTTGAGTCATGATGAATGTGGCACGTTGTGCTTGTAGGATGGAGTGGTATGAAAGCAGTCTTGGTATGAAAGCAATCTTGGAGCAAGTGAGAACCCCACCTCTCCCCATCTTCACTCCCCAAAGTGCTGCTCTCCTCTCACTTTGCACCACTCATTCTGTCTGCATTAGTGGCATAAAAGAGGCAAAAAAATATATGTATAGTGTCTTCTCAATATACAATAGGACTGAATTGGTTGTCATGCAAAAAGAACAAATATAGGTGTTTTTCTGAGTGCGTAGGTAGTTTTCCCTGAGAGCTTGAGAAAAGACCCAAAAGCTTTATTTAAAAAAAAAAATAGCCAAGTACTAAACAAAATGAAGGATATATGATTTTTTATTAGAAATTTGATATACTGACTTGCTGTAGAGGTGGCACCTAGGGCTGGCCCAAGTAATCTTTATACTTGACAATTTGTTATGTTGGTGTTTGTTTCACTATTTAGAAGATTTTCCTAAATGACAATACATTTTTATCAGTAAAGTCATTGTTAATAAATGAAACATGTTAAAAATAAATTCATGATGGGCATCTATGTCATGTCACCTCACCCCAGTGTGCAACAAACTGCATTGCCTTCCTTCACATGTGTGGAAGCGCTTAAAATAATCAGTCAATAAGAAAAATGCTCAGTGTAAAACTTGAAGTGAAAGGTTGCTGTGCCATTGAGGCACGACAAGTTTTATGATTCATTTTGAATATGTAAGTATAGTGATGCTTATCTAAGTATCTTATCCGAGTACTTATATGAGAACCGCTTGGTACTGCCAGTATCTATGGAGATTGCTTATCCATGTGATTGTATGATTTAATTCAACTACTAGCAATGGTTGTGGCTGACATATCCAAACCCACTAATATGAAGAGGTGTCTTTTGGCAAGGCAGTGCATCTTAAACCTTTTTAAAGGGAAATCTACAGTTACTATCAGATCTCTGTCCTTTGGTAACATTGTATTCAGTGCTCA